AAACTGATGAAATGCTTAGACTACTGACTGACACATATTAAGTGCTTATTAAGGTGAGCTATTTTATCATTGTGAGTGAGACTGACATTAAAATACTGCCTCTGACTTGGAGGTGACACTGAGCCACCACTACAGATGGGCAAAGCAGAAGGGTTGAAGATCCCAGATCTAGTGGGCAGAATCCAAGTTCTATGGAAAGAACACACCTACCCAAGGAGGCCAGGTTCTGGTAATTCTCCAGCATCACCTCTCTGTAGAGTTTCCTCTGAGAAGCAGTAAGGTAACTCATCTCCTCTGGGGTGAAGGTCACAGCCACATCTTCAAATGTCACCAAGTCCTAAAATGGCAGAAACACCCCATCTAAGCCCAGGAATTATCTCAGGGCAAGGGGAACGAGCCTGATGAGAAAGGACTGAAAGTAGAATGGCCATGCAGATGGGCACAAAGCTCCTAAGTGCTCTAATCCAGAGGTCACAGGGACTTACTATAGCACCTTTCTGGAGAAGGACTTTTTTTTGGCTAGCTCAGGCTGCCTTAAGACCCAGTCTGGTGCAGCTTGTGGAGCTGGGATCAAACTGCGGTCCTCTGTGCCTGACTGAGTTTACCCAAACTCAGCTAACCCGCAAGCCCCAAGCATAGCACCTTTCTTTTTCTTTTCTTTCTTTCTTTTTTTTTTTTTTCAGAACCGGGGATTGAACTCAGGCCCTTTTGCTTGCCAGGGAAGCACTTATTCCTCTGAGCCATCTCCCCGGCCCCCATAGCACCTTTCTAAGAGAAGTGGGAACACATCTAGGGTCCCTAAATACTTAAGGTTTACATAGAGAAAATACAGCCTCTTAAGACACTTTGTAGGAGAACAAGAATACAGTACTTAAAAGCTCAGCAGTACACTCTGTGCAAAGAATCTGAAAGGTGGGTTAAAGTTCTGGCTCCAGTTCTTATAAACTTAGTGTGAGTAGGTTAAGCCTCTGTATCTTATCTGTAAAACTCAGAGAATTGATAATTATGAAGAGATATTAAAATCTTACTAATAAATATGAAGATACAAATCAAACTGAAAATATACCATATTCAATTGACCAAAATTATGGTCCAGTGGCATAAGTACCTGCCTGGCAAGCACAAGGACCCAAGTTCGATTTCTGGTACAAAAAAAAAAAAATTGACCAAAGCTAGGAAGTGTGACAATAGCCAGTGTCATCCAGGGGATCTCTTATAAGATGCTAAGGGGCAAGTACGTGACAGACCACTCTGAACTCCAGGCCTTGGATTCCCAGATGTGTTTGCTCCTGTGCACCTGAATATGTGTACAGACATGTTTGTAACAGGGCTACTTGTAACACCTAAAGCCTGAGATACAAGATGACCATGGCCAGCTTGGTGTTGACAGCAAGGGACAGAGACTGATACACGTGTAGAAGGAAAACAGGTGCACTTGAATGGAGACAACAGAGAAAGCCAGAGCCAGGCAAGTAATCAGAGGCAGAGACTCACTGACCAAAATTCTAACAGAGGCTTAGCAAGAGCAGCTGGGCAGCACCTGCTCACAGCGCACCTTACACCCCAGTCTGGTGTACATCCCACCTTGGGACAGAATCGGACTCATTGCAACAGGTAGCCAGCATTTCAGTGGATTCCCCCACTGATGGGATAGGCATCCAGGGATTCTAACTTCCCCACTGGGGAGAAGAGCACAGCCTACAACATATTCAAAAACCAAGGCTGTTTAATATGATTAACCAAATAGGGAAGGTTCAGGGATGGCCAGATAACTCAATGGACTAACGCACCTGCTTAGGCAGGCACAGGGACTGGGGTTCGATCCCCGGTACCACATGCAATGCCAGCCCCAACCCCGACGTGCACTGAGATGGTGATTAAAACTGGGTGTGGTGGCACACACCTGTAATCCCAGTGCTTGGGAGGTTGAAAACAGGAGGATCATTACACATCCACTATGTCTAGTGAGACCCTGCACACCCTGTAATAAATATATTTTTTTAAAAAACCAAACTTGTAAAAACAAATAGGGAGGGGCTGGTGAGATGGCTCAGTGGTCTAAAGCACCTACTTAGAACAAGCTTAGCAAAGCACAGGGACGGCGGTTCAATCCCCTAGCACCACATGCTAGTCAGCCCCGCCCCCTGGTGGGCTGAGCTGGCCACACACACACACAAATAAATAAATAAATAATTTGAAAAAAAAAAAAAAACAAATAGGGAATCAGAAGCAAGAAGGCAAGATCCTTACATCTAGAACCAAGTCCCCAGAAAACTTGCCTTACCTGGGACCCAACAGAAGGTATGCTGTCTACTGCCTCTACATTCTCCCTCTGGTGTTCTTCAGAGTTTTCATTTTCTGCAAGGGCCGAGTCCTGAGCCGAGGAAGCTAGAAGAGAGGAATGAGCATGGAGTTGAGCCCGGCCTGGCAGCACACACAGATGTGAAATTGCCTGCCTCCTCCCACCACCCTATCTTGCCAGGATGGACTTCCTATGGTAAGAGAAAGGCCACCAAAATAATTTCTCCCCTCAACACAGCAAAGCCCAAGTGGGAGCTCTGATATTTTCCCAGCTCTAAATCCTTCAGTTGCTCCCGACTGTCTTCCAATACAATGAAATTTCTCCCTGTATAGTATCAGTAGCAACCCTTTACTGAGCCTTCCCTACATCCTTTTCACTTACTGATCTAGAAGACAACCTTTCTTCCAGGAGTCTGAACCTTGAAGACCCTCCTCACCTTTATGCTTTGTTTCAAGCACACCTTTTTTTTTTTTTTTTTTTTCCCCAGAACTGGGGATTGAACTCAGGCCCTTGCGCTTGTCAGGGAAGCACTTATTCCATTGAGCTATCTCCCTGGCCCCACAGGCACACCTTTTATTAATCTGTTGTTTCTTTCTCATATCCTAGGCCACTCTTTAACTCCCTCTGACTTGCAACTTCAGTGGTTCTGGGCCTTTGGGCAGGTCTTTAGAGTCTGGGACAACATCACTCTGTCCACTCAAGGTAGAATAACACTGTGATTAAAACTGCAGATAGGTGAGCAGGCAGCCTGCCAGTAAGAACTGTGGAACCACAGGCAAATTACTCAGCTTTGTGCCTGTTTACTGGTCTACACAGCGAAAGTAATTTCACAAAGCTATTAATGAAAGCAAATTAATTTATATGTAAAAATGCTTACAATGATACACTGTAAGTGTTCAACATGTACACTATAAAACCACACAGAGAGTGGCATATACCTGTAATTCCAGCATTCTGGGAGGCCAAGGCAGGAAGATCACAAGTTGGAGCCTGAAGGGGAAAACCTACAAAAGGAAAAAGTATTCTTTTTAAAACCTCATTCTTGGGGCCAGGGAGATGGCTCAGTAGAATAAGCCCTTGCCTTGCAAGCACAAGGGCCTGAGTTCAATCCCTGGTTCAGGAAAAAAAAAAGAAAAAAAAAATTCTTTGCAGCTGCCCAACTCTGTAACTGCTTCTTGGCTCTGTGATTTCTTTCCTGACCCCTGTAACGACAAGTGCATAAATGAACATATTTGGGACCCAACTGTAACTGATGGTCATTCACCTAGCCCTGTAACTGCTGTATTAGGAGCTGAATAAAAGAATACATTTTATATATCATCTAATTTGCATAATCTCATGTGAAATGAAAGAGATACGGGCTTTGGTTTTTACTTTAATATTTATTAGTGCTCTGAAAATACCAACTTTGCTCCCTCCACCCTAGTTATCCAGCCTGAGCTCTAATACCAACAAAAAAGCAAAACACACACTACCAAAAAACAATCTTGTAGGGCTGGTGCGATGGCTCAGTGGTCTAAAGCACCTACTAAGAACAAGCTTAGCAAAGCACAGGGACCACTCTGCAGTTCAATCCCCCAGCACCACATGCCAGCCAGCCCCGCCCCCTGGTGGGCTGAGCTGGCCACACACACACACACACACACACACACACACACACACACAAATAAATAAATAAATAAAACAATCTTGTAGAATTACTCATGATACTACTAAGTGTAATTGTGGAGAAATTGGGTTTTTTTGGTCATTCCATTGAAGAATTGATTTTTTAAAAAATGAATGGTTAAATTTTAGATGTACAAGAGCATAAAATATGGCAGGCTTAGAAATGCAACCTCTGCAAAAATTTATTAGTGTCTTGGTAACTCAGGTTATTAGATTGGAACTAAAGAGAACATTTCAAGAATGAAAGAAAGACCCTCAATTCTCATAATTCTTTAAATAAAAATAATACTAAAGAGTTGGGCGAGAGAGAGGAAACATAAATACAAATCCAAAATTGTAGCTGTTTCTGGAATGAAGGCTGGAGCGTGCACAAGGCAGAAGCACAGAGGGGATGCAAGTTTCTGGGGATGTCTTAGTCCGGGGGTTGGGTAGTAAACTCACAGCCTTCCTCATACTTGGAAATGGAAGTAAGTACACTTAGACATGAACATGCATGGCTCAGTATTGATAACGAACTAAGGATTGTGCTTTGTCCAGTTCCAGGAATGCATACCTGCATTCCTTAAAATGATTTTTAAGATGGGGTGTGTGTGTGTGTGTGTGTGTGTGTGTGTGTGTGTGTTACAATACTGGGCATTAAAGGCAGGTCTTCCCAAGTCCATTTTTACTTTTGATTTTGTGACAAGGTCTTGCTAAGTCACTAAATTGTTAGAGCTGGGCTTGTTGTGGCAAAGCTGAGTCTGGGAAAGGAACGACACCTGAAGAAATCAGGGGACAGTGAACAGCTTTATTTTATACTAATGGTCCTGGCTAGAATAGTTTCAACAAAATCCAGGCAGCAAGTGTCTATGAGCCAGCATTTTACATGAGGAATAAGCAGGGGTTACAAAGGCAGGACAGGACAGCCTGGCAGTTCTTCTGTGTTAGCTCCTGTGTACCTGAATATGTGTATAGGCATGTTTGTAACAGGGCTGCTTGTAACACCTATAGCCTGAGGCACAAGATAATCATGGCCAGCTTGGTGGTGGCTGCTAGGGACAGACGCTAATACATGCACTGGAGGAAAGCAAGTGTGCTTGAGTGGAGACAACAGAGAAAGCCAGAGAAGCAGATATTCAGTAGACAGAAACAACTGGTTGCTTTCTACCTGTCTCACCAGGATACTCACATGCCTGGACCAAGTTCTCCACCAGCGTGCTTGCCTCTCTGATGTCCTTCGGATGCTGTGACCTCACCCACGGCTGAATTTCCTCTGGCAAGATACTCAGAAACTCCTCCAACACTAGTCGCTCTATCATCTGCTCCTTTGTGTGGGTCTCTGGCTGCAACCACTTCTGGCAAAACACCAGGATCTGGTTCACAACATCATGAGGCCCAGTCAGTGCCAAACATTGAAGTTGCACAAACCATTTATTAGAATCATTTACAGCTCCTGGGTTTCTTATGGGATTAGTTTCTCGATTCTCCAATTGATTACGCAGACGAGAGATGCAATTCTTCGTGGCATTCAAAATCTCTGGTGTATGCGGCATTTTTTCAGCTTAGTCCTTTACAGAACTCAAGCACTCTGCAAGGCAGGCTGGCCTATGTATGGCTTGTGGAAGATGATTGGGTTAGCAGAGATGTATCAGATACAAAGATACCAGGACCTCAGGACCTGCAGATATTAAACAGAAGAAATGCACAGTATGTTTTGGACAGTGTGGTGGAAGCAGTCTGAAGTTAGCTAGCTTGTACCACATGAATATCTAAACACAGAATAAGTGCTTCCCCGGCAAGCACAAGGGTCTGAGTTCAATCCCCGGTTCCGCAAAAAAAAAAAAAAAAAAAAAAATCTAAATACACTTGCATAAAGTTTTATGTCAGGCACACAGGTGATTGTTCAGCCCTATTCTCAGAAAATGCACAACAAGCTTTTCAAGGGAAAAGAGCTTGGAACTCCAAGCACAACGAAATAAAGTAAATTGATAAACCACAAAAGGAATTATTTTGTGCTAGCCAAATAGCTCAGAGGATTAAAGGGCCTGAAGCAGGCACAAGGGCCAGGGGTTTGGTCCCAGGGCCTACCATGCTGGCCCCGCCCCCAGGGCACCCTGAGACAGCAATTGAGACTGGGCATGGTGGTGCGCACCTGTAAACAAATTTCTTGGGAGGCTGTAAACAGGTGGATCACTATGAGTCTGATCTAGTAGTGAGACCCTGAACACCCTGTAGACCCTTCCCTAAAAAAAGAAAGAAAGCATTTTATTTAAAAAGTGAGTTACAACAACTGTATTATACAGAAATGAGGAGGCCAGGCATGACTGTGCCCTCTTATAATTTCCACACTCAGGAAGAAGCTGATGCAGGAGGATAACCATGAGTTCAAGACCAGCCTGGGCTACCAAGTGAGTTAAGGCCAGCCTGACCTGCATAAAGGGAGATGTTGTCTAAAAAAATAAAAAGAGAGGGTAGGGGAGATATTTCAGTAGTCTAGGCGCTTGCCTGGCAAGTGCAAAGATCCAGGTTCAATCCTCAGTACCATATACCAAGCTGGCCCTGTGCTGAACCAGCAACTGAAACCAGGTGTGATGGCACACACCT